CGCACACACACACACACACACACACACACACACACACACACACACTTTTCTCTAGTATTAGCAGAAAAGAAACACAAAACCAACTGATATTCTTTTAAAAAGTTAGCAATAATGTCAAATTATCCAGCTGTTTAGAGACTTACTTGCAGTAATAAAATCAATAGAATTTAATTATATTTATGATTTTATATCTAAGTATATATGACTTTATGATTCATTATTATTTGAAGCACAGTCAAATGTGGGTGGGCTATTGAAAAAAAGGAACATATTTTGTTTGTATCTCATTTTCCTTCAATCAAGAATCAGACAGTTATCAATTTGGGCAGATGACATTCATTATATTAGTCGCAATGGATTAATTCATTAATTCATAACATTGTACCCTTTGCTTAGTTCTTTCCCTCCTGTAAACTACTGTTTAGTAAAAAAAAAAAAGGGGGGGGGAAATCTAGGTTTCCCGGAGAAAGGAATACCGAAATGCACAGGGAAAAAAAGCATAAATTCAGATTCTGATTGAACACACCAACTTTTTTTATAGTGCATCTTAGCCAGGGGTGAGCTTCAAAAATTTTAGCAACAGGTTCTCTGCCTGGTTACTGGGTGGGCATGGCCATGGTGGCCGTAGTCTCATTGGCTTCCTGCACCACGGCGGGGATGGATGGGTGCGTTTTCGCCTTCCCCAGGCTCCAGAGCCTTTACTCGAGCTTCGGGGAGGGCGAGAACTGCCTCCCCTAGGCTCCGAAGGGCCCATTTCTGACCTTCTGGGACTTCCAGGAGGCCCATTTTCCGCCTCCCCGAGTCTCCACACTGGCCCTGCACTTACTCGCATCCCAAGTGGGCCACCTGGAGACTACTGGGAGGGGCAGCGGGGTGGGTGGGGCCAGCCAGAAGTGAGATTTGAAGGTTCTCCGAACGACCATAACCTTAGCTATGGGTTCTCTTGAACCCGGGCAAACCCATAGCAGCTCATCCCTGATTTTAACTATACTACAGTAATACAGTATAGTCCATCTTAAAACCTGGCACTTCTTTCTCCTCCAGGTCATTCTGGAACTTTTCTCTCCCATGGGGAAAAAGAGAGAAATTTGGAGGCCTGGGAGAGCTCCATAGCCATGTTTCTCCCTCCTCCTTCAAATCTCCTTCCTCTTGGCAAGGCATCTTTCCATTCAGCGCAGGTTTTCTAATATAAGATTTTTTGCTTCTCCCCACAGCATTTACCTTAGAGACATTTCGTGGTCCCCTAATTGATAGTATATTGTGCTGATTTTATAAAAAGCTTCAGTATTATCGCTCTTCAGTTTAGCAGCAGCCTTCAAGTCACTGATAGCCTTCCCAGGTTCCCCTTCCTTAATGTAACTTTCGGCTCGAAGTTCCCGCATATCCGCATCCCAAACACAAACCTTGAGAAACCAGAAAGAAAAGGAGACTTTAATCCTATTTGTACTTGTTCAAAAGGACCCTCCCACCTAAACGTAGCAATAAGCCGCACAATGCCATACACACTTTAAGAATTGGATAACTATTTCTACACAATTGGAGCAACACGTTCAACACAATTTTTTGATTCCTCCGGAGTAAATTTCCTTTTAACTTACCAGGTTAATCTAACCAACACAATTTTGGGGAAATTATGTGGTTAGATTAACCTGATGATACAATTTGTCAAAAGGAGATTCGCTCTGGATTTCATGAAGAAATTTGTAAATTGTTGTGGCAACAGTAAATAAATAGTTTGCCACTGGCTTTTTCCAGGATGTTTTCTCAACTTTCCAGTCCAGGCTATAGCTCCACGATGCCCTAGGATTCTCTCATCTAGTCAGGTATGCATCAGGCCCAATTGTAAAGCACTTAGCATTAAAAATCAGGTAAGGGGAGCTACATGCTGCCAGTCGACTAAAACTTTGCCCACTGAAAATCTTCCAATTTACAAGCATCTGGTGAAAAATATATATATATACCTAACTGAATGTTGCTATGACTCCAAAGTGACTTTTAATTCAAAATTTAAAAGTAGTAGCCATGCTTACATCTTGGCATCAGTTTCCAGTTCTGGGACTTACTTCTAGAATTTTATCCAACAGAGTGATAGCAGTGTAGTAATCTTTTTCGAGAAAGGCAGACTGTGCTAGGGAACGCAGGCGCCGAGCCTCATCTGACTTCAACAACTGAGCACGGGCTTCTCCTTCTTCTTTATCACTGGGGTTGGTCAGGAGCTGCAAGTAACGAACACACACACACAAACCCAATTACATGTTGAGATTCAAATTCGAACTCATCACCCCGTGTTTGACACCCATCGACAAACCCACAATAAAACACAGCCAGGCTTTTGAATTCTTTAGCACAGAAAAATCATAGCCTAGAAAATAATTTTAGATTATTGACTTGGAAATCCAGAGCAGGAATGCAGACAGTTCCCCAGTCACTTCAAAAGAAAATGGCTGTGTGTGTGTCCAAACAGAACAGAAGAGAAAGACTGTGGCTCTAAACTGAGTTCTCCCTCTGAAAATGTTGCACCTTGTTCCTGCCAGGGTGTTCTTTTCTGTTCCTTCTTCCCTAAACTTCAGACAATTCACAACAAAGGCAGATGGTGACACATGTCCCCCATACAGGCAAATAGTCCAAGGGTTCAATACTCATGTCTGTGTATATTTAATCTCTCTTTCTCTCCTTCCCTCCCCTCCACCCTCTCTCTCCCATCTATACTGTACATTCTCTTCCGGAGACAAATAACAGCAAGTAATTTCAGGGGAACAGAAGTATTCTACAAAATCAGTGTGTTGAAGACTACAACCTGGGAGTCTTTCCCCGGGCTTCTCCCCTTGCCAGGTTCTGTCTGTACAACTTACGTGTCCCACACTCAATCCATTCTCACTTAAGGCAAGGAGGCTGGACTGAGCTGGCTGTCAAATGAAGAGAGGGGGAAGGAGAAGAGAAGAGAAGCATTGGAGGGTGAAATTTCCATTACAGGGCTACAGAGGGACTAAAGGCGAGGAGAGGGCTGAAATCTAAAGCAGGTGCAGGTGGACCTCCTTTAGAAGCATAAGGCTGTTGTGGCTTGCCAAAGGCCAGCAGAGCTGGCAGCAGATTCAGACAGTGAGGAGGTTGGGGAGGAACATGGGCCAGTCCTGGAGTCTGGGGTAGGCTCCGATGAGGGCTCTGTGTCGGAGGCAGAGAGGGGGCCAGAGCCATCTAGTAGTTATATGCTGTCTCTGGAATCTAATATCAGCGAGGCAGAAGAACAGTGG